TTAAAAAAAAAAAAAAGGAGAGCTACTCAACTCATTTTATGAGACTGTATAATATAGATAACAAAACCGGGCAAGGACATTACCAGAAAAGATAGTCTCAGTTTTGAACACAGGCGCAAGAATCCTAAACAAAATAGTGGCAAATTTAATTCAGCATCTGGTCAGATGACACACTGCCATCCAAATGGGTTTGTTGCCGTGGATGGAACTGGAGGGTATTCGGCTGAGTGAAGTCAGAGAAAGACAGATATCACATGTTTGCACCCATATGTGGAATTTGAGAAACTTAACGGAAGACCGTGGGGGAAGGGAGAGGGAAAAAGTCGTTTCAAACAGAGAGGGAGGGAGGCAAACCATAAGAGACTCTTAAATACAGAGAACAAACTGAGGGTTGATGGGGGTGGGGGAGAGGGGGAAACGGGTGATGGGCACTGAGGAGGGCACTTGTTGGGATGAGCGCTGGCTGTTGTATGGAAGCGATAAATCATGAGAATCTACTCCCAAAGCCAAGAGCACAGTGTATGTTAGCTAACTTGAAAATAAATTATATTAAAAAAAAAAAAATGGGTTTGTTGCAGAGGCGCCTGGCTGGCTCAGTCTGTAGAGCATGTGATTCTTGGCCCAAGATCAAGAGTCCCACACTGGGCATCAAGATTACTTGAAATAAATAAATAGAATAAAGCAGTTAAAAAAAAAAATGGGTTTGTTCCAGAAACATGAGGATATTCCGCTGCAGGAAATTAATCAGGGACTCCTGGGTCGCTCAGTCAGTTACGGGTCCAACTCTTGATTTCAGCTCAGGTCATGATCTCACAACCGTGAGATCGAGCCCCACGTTGGACTCCATGCTGGGTGTGGAGCCTGCTTAATATTCTCTCTCTCCCTCTCCCGCTCCCCCTCTCCCCCACTCACGTGCTCTCTCTCCCTCAGAGAAAGAAAGAAAGAAAGAAAGAAAGAAAGAAAGAAAGAAAGAGAAAGAGAAAGAAAGAAAGAAAGAAGAAAGAAAGAAAGAAAAGAAAAAAAGAAAATCACCCAATGTAAATCACTACATGAACCCAATTAAAGGAGAAAAATTATTTCAACGGATGCAGATAAATTATCTGATTAAAATCCAACACTCATCCATAATAAAAACTCTTAGTAAGAAAACAAAATAGAAGGTAGAAACAGAAAAAGCCTTGGCAATAGAAGCAGAAAGAAATAACTTTCTTAGCCTGATACATTTACCACTCTCACACAGCAAACATTAATAGTGTAGCACTAGAATGCTCAGGAACAAGTCAAATCACCCTCTAGGACTCACTGCCACTATTCAACCCTATACCGGAAGTTTTTGCCAAATGGAGTCAGACAAGAAAAAAAAAGTATAAGAATTAAAAGCAAAGGAAGGGACAAAAAAAAATCAGTACTTATCTAAGAGACTCTATGTGTTTAAACACATCATCAATAAGAGGGCAACAAAGATGCTTTTTATGAGTCCAACGTTGGAAAGTCACTGATGTCCTGGGGCTCAGTCAGTTAAACGTCCAACGCTTGATTTTGGCTCAGGTCGTGATCTCACGGTCACGGGATCGAGCCCCACGTCAGAGTCTCTGCTGAGCATGGGGCCTGCTTAAGGTTCTCTCTCTCCCTCCCTCTGCCCATCTTCCCTGCTTGCATGTTCTCTCTCTCTCTCTCTGTCTCTCAAAAAAAAAAAA